TTTTATTGAAAACCTACCAGGTAAAAAGCAGGACAGCACACAGTGGAGAGAGCTCTGACATCTAGCAGGTCTGAACTGGAGCCCTGCCATATACAGACCACATGAGCTAAGATAAATTTAAACTCTCTTTGTCTCATTTTTCAAATCTGTGAAATGGAGATAATATTTACGCAAACCCAGGAAGCTTTTCATGTGTGCACGTAATAGTAGGGTATGAAGAAGGGTGAATAAAATGAGAAAATATGAGTACAGTGCTTGGCACATAGTAATCCTCCAAAACAGAGTAAATATAGTTAGACTGTCAACTATGAGGCAGAGTTAAGGGAGTGAGGCTGGAAGGGTGATGGTTAGAATTCCGCTATCTAATAAGGTAGCCATTAACCACACATGTCTACTGAGCACTAGAAATGTGTCTAGTCCAAACAGAGATGTGTTGTAAGTAAAATACCCTCTGGCTTTCTACCGTGTAGTATGAACAGATGACATAAATATCTCATTAATAATTGTTAATAAATAGTAATTGTCGAATATATATTGGTATATTGGGTTAAAATATGTTAAGACTAATTTCACTCATGTTTTTACATTTATAAATGTGGATATTAGAAAATTTGAAATTATTTATGTGGCTTGCATTATATCTCTAGTGGGCAGCACTGGGCCAAATCACCAATTACCATTCTAACCATTTCAACTTGGTTTTGCTTTTCCTCCTATTGTTGATCTAGTCAAATTCAGAGATAAAATCAACACCACCCTCTCTATCTTAAGCCCCGCAACTTGTCAATTCTATATTTTTACCAGCCCACACATATATTCTCTTCTCCATCCCTCCTACTGACTTAGAATATTACAAACCCATTTATTTTATATTTTGCATTTTTTATTGGGACATAGTTAACAGAGAATATTATGTAAGTTTAAGGTGTTCAACTTGTTAATTTGACATATTTATACATTGCAATGTGATTACCACCACAGCTAACACATTAGCTAACACCTCTACCACATTAGCTAACACCTCTACCATGTCTTTTAGTGTTTTCCCTACCTATTGGTTGCTCGCCATTCTACTCTGCTCCTTCTTAAATCTTTCAGACTCTCCTCCGCTTTCAGAGAATTTGATACTCCTCATCGAGGCATAAAATTCCCTTTGTGATCTGACCTCAACTCTTTAAACACTCTCTTACTGCCCCTGCCACCACGACAGCCACAAGCTTAGCTCGAGCATGTCTTTGCAGGTGCTTCTGCTTCTGCCTATAGCAACGACTCCCTCCATTCCCATGCCCCAGCTCTTCACAAATAGCCTAATTGTTAAGAGTCAGAGAATAAGCTTTGAATCTTAGCTCTGCAATTACTGTCAAACTTTGAAAGAGTTACTAAACCTCTCTAAGCCTCACTGTTCTTCTCTCTAAAAAATAAATAATAGTAGACCCTACCTTTCAAAATTTTATGAGGATTAAGAGAGATGATGCATAGATAGTGCCAGGTCTACAGTAAACCTATAGTAAATGCTATTGTCAAACATCATCTCCTAGAGAAATGTTCCTTGACACTTCACCTTCCACACACCCTTTTGCTCCCATTCTCCATTAGTCTCATTCTCGGGCTTCCACAGTCCTCTGTACATTCCTCAGTCGCAGCTCTTCTCTCTGTATTGGAGCCATCTGTTTCCTCATCATTCTTGTTCCTAGATCAGTAGTCTTCAAAATGTGATCTTAGAAACAGCACACCCAGCATCCTCTAGGAACTAGTTAGAAACACAAAGTCCCAGGACCCACCCTGAACCTACTGAATCAGAAACTCTGGGGCCGAGACCCAGAAATCTGTGTTTTAACAGGTCCTCAAATTGAGTCTGATATTTATACATTTGAGTAACACTGTTAGACCAAGTCTCTATGCCTGGGACCACGTCCAATTTATCTTGCATTGCCACCCAGCCCAGTGATGATAGAAAAAAATGCATGAATGCATCCTGATCACAGTGTGGAGCTAGTGAAGGATATCCAGCGGAGACTGTCATGGTCTGATTGCCTTTCAGGAGTTGCTTTTGCAGGGTGTGTAACATATAGATTATAGGGAGAGGTTACTAGAGACAATTGAATTTGCTTATAAGAAAATTATTATTTGGTAGTCAGATTTATTATTCAGGTAGAAAAAATAATTATTTATAAAAATATGTCTTACTTTTCAAAATAATTTTAAATTGCATTGTTATACCACTCTATACGTAGTGTTTTATAAATTTTTTAGGGGAAAGTAGGTATATCTATATATAAAATTTGTCAATAAATATGTTTTCCCACAAATTATGATTTCGTTTAAAAAATAGCTTCGAATGTCTTATACATATTTATTATTTGTGGATTTTCTAATTACATAGTACAATCCTCTGATTTTATTATAAAAGTAAAATTTTATAGCAAGTGAGTGCATTTAATAATGAAAATCTTATTTAAATTTCAATATTAATACAGAAATAGTTTCATTTTTGTTTGACATATCTATGCTATATCATATTAGTATAGAAACTATATATTATTTATCTTATTTTGAATTGAAATGAAATAAAGCAATCATGTAGAAACATTTCAGTTAGAGAATGTCAATGCTTTTATTAAAAAAAAAAATGATGTTAAAAAACAGAATAAAGAGTAAAGTAAACCCAAAGACACATGGCCTTTAAGGAAATTATAAGGCTGCAGAAGCCTCAGTTTGGTCCCATCACATACCATCTCCCATTAACAGATTCTCACCCCAACGGTTGGGGAAGATTTCAACCAGCTTGAATGTGGGCACAGTATTTGGACCTTCAACTCAAGTAAAGTTTTCACATTTTCTCTTGATCTTTAAACAATCTTCTCTACAAAATGAGAGCCTTTTGTTATTTCCATATGAACCACTTGGAAGACACAATTAGTTGCCCACCTTGCCACAGCAGACCTCACTGCCCTTTCTTCTTCCTTGCTAATAGAGCTCTAATTTTTATTTTATTAAGGTAGTAGATGCCTATGCCTGGCTGCAGGATCCCAATATCCAAATCTCTTGTGGTAAACTCCTTTACTGTTCGCCTGTAACTGTTCAGGAAATGAGCACATAACCAAGTGGTGGCCAATAAGACATAATGGGATACCTGATGGGGGTTCTAGAAAAGATTTTTATTCTCTAATTAAAAAACGAGAGCTGTGGGAAGAAGGCCTCTTTTGCACTCATCGCTTTACTACTTCTCTTAGGAAAGGGAGCCGTCATGAAACCACAGGCTATGCAAGTCTTGGAAAAAGAATGAGGTTTTGTTTAAGGATACAAATTCACAGTAGCAAGTCCTAGAGCTCTAATGAACAGTATAGTGAATATAAATAACAATATTGTGTTACAATCAGCAAACTCACTAAGAGACCAGATAATAAAAAAGAAATGATAATTACGTGATGTGATAGAGGTGCTAACAATCATATCATGACAATGGCCATCATATTACAGTATATAAATTTATTAAATCAACAGATTGTACACTTTAAATTCACGCAGTTATATGTCAAATATATTTTAATAACAATAATAACGAAATAAATTTAAAAAGAAAGAATGAAGATAAGAGGAAACTAAGGGTCATGAGGGAGGGGAGGTTAGGGGACAAGGAGTGAGAGATCCTGAAGGGCAAGCAGGGATAAGAATTATTTTCAGAGAGAGAAGAGACTTGGTAGGCAAAGGGGAGTCTGCAGGCAAAGAGCAGGACGGACTAAAGATGATGTGGTGGGGACGAGGACAGACAGCTTGGCATGGGATTCTGAAGGTCCCAGAACCCTGTAGTTCTGGTTTCCTGTGTCCCAATTAGGTCCAACAGTCCACCCATTTTTTGATAGTTAAAAGAATTAAGTTCTTGGTAACTCTGTAAATTCGGTCCATTCAGCCACTTGGTTGTGGCGTGCTCCTAATCCCTCTCCACTGTCCTTCTCTCTAGTGGAGGGCTCCTTCTGTACCTGGGCCAGTTACAAGGCTTGGAAATTTGATGAATTCGTCAGTCAGAGAAAATGAATAATTCTAAAGTGTTAAAGTGTTAGCTAAACGAGATGGCTTTTCTAAAGATTTAAAAAAGGAAAAGAATAAACTGAGACATTCCCATGTGACATTTTTATTATATTCACAAGAATATATTTTAAAAGATTAATAGTGAAGTTTAGCACATTTTCAATTATTTACTGGCTTTTAAAATGTTTATTCATGTGATCTGCCTATTTATATACTTTGTCCACTTTATTGGTTTGCCTTTTTTTAAAATTTGTAAACATTTATATATATTGTAAATATCAATTATTTGCCTGTGATACATGTTGCAAATATTTTATCCCGTTCTATTTCTTGGCACTTAATCCTTTAATCCATTTGAAGTTTATTTTGGTGTTTGGTACAAGACCGGAATCTAATAAGATTTTTCCATCTAGAAGTTAAACAACTTTTACGAAATTATTAGTTGAATAACCCACCTGGTCCATTTACCTGCAATGCTTCCTTCTTGAGTCTCATATGAGGTAGGGTTCATTTTAGGATCATGTATTGTGTTTTAGCCAATAGTTCTGTGAATTCTCACACACAGGTTCAATAATTGTTGTGTTATTATGTATTGTTTGTTCACACTTTTCAAAATTTCTTAGCCATCCTCATATTGTTACTGTTGCAAAAGCTGAGATTTAGAATCATCTTGTCAAATTAAAATACAAATATTGGCATTTAGGAAGTATTTTATAGTAAATGGAGGTTAGTGGTATGAATTTGTATACTGTGTTAATCCTTGGTGCAAATGTGTAATATGCCAGCCTCTTTAGTCAGGAACACTTTCATTTTGCTCTTTGAAGTCCTTCTCACCCCATGGGTCTCCGAGCAAAGCAAGACTGGCCAACACTATCTAGCAGTCATTCATCATCTTTTGTTTGTCAGATTTGTTACCAACAGCCATGTGAAGAAGCCCAGGCTCTTGGAGCTTATGCCTGTCTTATCCGCAGGTTATTTTGCAGAACCTTCTTATATGCGTCATCCTCTTCTACACTGTGTACTATGCAGTTCTGGGCATGGGTTGCATGATGCTCAAGTAAGTAGCACATCGCTTTTGAACAGAATTAAAGAGCTAAGATCAGATATGAAAGGAGAGTTTATACTTAAACCAGACATATCTTTTTGGAATAGAGAATGCAGATTTTTAAAAATGGTATATTTTCTTACTTTTTAAAGTATAAACAAGCAAATGTGCCATCTCTGAAAATGATAAAAGTAACAAGCATAAAATGAAGTAGCTAGAACCAGGCAGGCCCGTTCCCCTTACCTCTGAAGGATGGTCATGTAAAGAAAGTGAAGCTATTACTCCTTGGTGTTGCATCAGAGGGCATTTGAACTAGATGAGAATTTAGAGATAATCTACATCCAACTAGTTTAAATATTTTTTGATATAAACTAGAAATATCTTTGGATTGCAGGTGAGTAGATCTGCATTCTGGCACAGATTCTTCCTATCTTCTTGGACATCTTGACCAAGCTGTAGAGCTTTTCTTATTCCAATTTTCTTTATTTTTCAAATGGAGGTAATAATTCAAAAGAGGGTTATCACAAGGACAAAATAATACATGTGTTTTTAACGACATTCTTAATTAAGTGTGAGACATATTTTTTCAGGTAATTTCATTGTCTTGCTGTGATTGAATTTTGTTTTTACAAATTTAGGTTACCAATGCATTGATTTCCTTGAAATATATTATGTATATTTACAAAAATTTCCTAGCAATTAATCGTTTATACAATTTAATTTTTTGTTTAGGCAAGGAGTTAAGGCCTTGAATTTCAATACGCAAATTAGTGCCAAAAGTAATTCTACCAACTTTTGCAATGAGAAGAGCGTTATGAAGCTTGCTTGCAGGCTAACCCACTGAGGAAGCTTCTGGTGCTGACTCAGTCTTAGCTGTTGCCTAGGAATAGAGATGGTGAACTTGTGCCTGGAGCAGGGAAGGGCTAGAATCTCCAGGGCTTTCTGGGCATGAGATTTTAATGGTTTTTTAATTTGTCAGAGACAAGGAATTTGAAGTAATTGGGCCTTAAAGCTCCGGGAGAAAGCCAACTGATTGATCAGCTGCATGCAACTACAAATGGACACAGCAGAATGTGAATGCTTAATAGATTCAGATTTTGGAACAGAAAGGGATCTCAGAGATTAATCATTCAATTTACAGACAAGAAACTAAAGCCCAGAGAGTTTCAGTGACTTGCCTAGGTTTACAGTTAACACCGTCAGGGCGAGAACTCAGGTCTTGTTGCTTCCAGGACCATGCTCTCATCAGGGTATTATGTTCTCCCACATTTGCTAGAAGGGACCTCAAAGATTACAGCTGAGACCTCAAATATAATGAAGTACACTGGGCGGTCAGAGTGGACTTAACTGAACAAAGAAAACAATGTGGATAAAGAGGTTATTTGGCTTCCATCCAAGTCAGCTAGTTTTTAAATGTTCCACAAAACGGTAAAGCTAATGACTTATCACTGTATGTGAAGAGCAATGTGCAAAACCTTGGTGTGCAAAGTTATGAATTACCTCCAGATTAAACTATTTTCATTTGTAACATTTTCCGGGTATATGAGTTGGATGTCGTGGCATCATTTGATTTCAAAACAAATCCTTCATGGCTCAACTAAAATTATAAAGGTGATTGGTTTTAATTTTCAATCTTTGCCAATTAGTGAACAAAATGTTTCCAAAAATAAAAATAGGTTTTGTTTTATAATTTTTTTTTTTAATAATGGGTCTTCCTCTTGGCCATTTATATCTTATACCCGATTTCAAAAATTAATGTGAGAAAGTGCCATAAAAATTTTTGAAGTGGCTATTCCTAAAAGGTAGAGAGAAGGATGAAATAAGTGAATAGTATTTTTGTGTGAAGTTTTATTTATTGGTATCATGGGTAAATTTTTGTGCATTAAATATTTTTCATAAAAAGGAAGAATGGCTTACTGTACTGGTATAGAAAATGTTCGTGAGATGTAAAATAAAAAATGACTATGTAAGAGTTAGTATAGTATAATTATTCATTTTTGTAGAATAGAGTAAAATATGTGTTGTCAATGGTAAGAAATCTGGAGAATTATGCAAAAAACTGTTATCTCCCAGCTGGGATGACAGAGGTCTTTCATTTTCTGCTTTGCACATTTCTGCTCAGTTTTATTTTCCCCCAAAATAGTATGAAATTTGTTGCAACAAAAAGACAATAAGAAAATATATCAAGAAAAAAATTTTCTTTTAAATTTATTATTTTTGTTAAAGAAATTATTAATTGATACCTACTGTGTTTATAAGCCTTATGTATGTTAATAATAATAGCTATTGGTATTGAACATATGTCACATATACTTGTTTTGGGGGCATTCATGGTGAGTTTGCCCATCGTTAGAAAAATAAGAATTTAATGTTATTTTCTATTATGAAATAATACAGATAAATAATGAAAGCTTATGAAATGCCTACAAGTAGAAAAGAGAAAAAAGAAGAAAATTGATTTCAAGCTTTCTTTCTAAATATTATTATTCTTAACATTTTGTTAAATTTCTTCCTACATATTTTTAATAAATTGTGGATTCTTTAAAAATTACAATTCTTTAGAAAACCACCTGGCACCTGGAAACATATATGCAAATATACAAAAATGTCCTGACACCAAAAAAATCAGATTTCAAATACGCTTTGTATAGGAAACTTGGTCAGCTAAAACTGCTGAAGTCAAACTAAAAGCTTTAGAACAGCATCCCCAAATGGGTAACCTTCTTTGGTGCCATTACTCATTTAATTTTGGATAGACAAAAATTATGTGAGGACAAGAGACTCATTTGAATGAGATACAAGAGATCTGACATTCTATCTTAACTTCCTCTTCATGCACTTCCCTATTGAAGAGCAAATTACTTTATTTTCTACCAAGATTATTCACAAATGATAAGGAAGTAGCCATAGTAAAGAGTTAAGTATGAATTGTGTGTGTGTTGAGTAAGGGGAGATATTTAAAACTCAACTGTTAGTATTTAATTCTTGCCTTTAAGTCCTCCAATGAAAGACAGGACAATGACACAGGCTTATTGGACAGGGCTGTGTTTTTACATAGCAGAGATTAGTGAAGATTAGTGAGGATGCCTGGACAGTTTACATGTCCTTTCCTCTCACAAAACATTAACATTTGTACAAAGATATCAATAAACCAGTAGCCTATTAGCTCTTCAATTTTGGGTTTGGGGAGATAAGTGCCATAACTCTTCCAAGTTGTTACTTTGAGCATCTAGACTTGTTTAACCTTGAAGATAAAATGTAAGAGTAATCTTAGAGCCTTGCGCATGTATTTAGGGTCAGGTTTCTTATTTGTTTAAGTAATTTTGTCACCCAGATCAGGTTTAGGAAGGACCTTGAAAAGTGTGAGTCTTTCTTTGCATTGTAGAGAATAGATTTCAAATTGCTTTTATTTACAATTAAAATCCTCCCAACAATTTCTTTGAGATAGATAAAATGCACTCCATTTCTCAATTTACAGAGAAGGAAACAGACTGACCCAGAGGTTAAAATCCTGCTCAAAGTCCTATCACTCTTAAGCTATAAGGCAAAACTAGAACACTGGTAGTCCTGACTTTAAATTTTGTACTACTTCCTTTAAATCATGCTTTTCTCATATCACAAACAGAGCATAAGCCTTCTCTATCAATATGTGCACATACAACTTGTTCAAGACTAAAATCACTATCTCCAAGCAGCTGCAAGTTAAATTATAAAATCTGTAAATGGTAATAAAAACCCATCTCTATTTTTTTATAATAATGGAATCTCTGTGAGCCACTGGTGGAGGTAGGAGTAGAAATGTTATGGGAAGAGGTGGTGTCAATGATACAGCAATATGGTTGCTTCCACATCCTTGATTTTAGGGGGCAGAGCATGCTTAAATGAACTATATTCCAATACAATAGAAAAAGAGCTGGTTTGAATTGTCCATTTAACTTTTGAAACCTGTTGAGTTAAAAAGCATTGACGAGGAATAAGTGTGAGGCCTTTAAAAAGATAGTACCTGGGACTTGCTCACTTGACGAATATCTTGCTTACCCATTAGACAATTGTTGACTTACTGGTTAATAAATTACTTCTGCATAACAGAACATAATACTATTATTTTATTTTCTGCTTTAAAAAATATGGAATCTGCCTGCCTAGATTTATCAATTCCTGAATTAATATAAACATACCAATCATTTGCTGTGTTCTAAAAGGAAAGAAAGGTAATTTTTATGGGAAGTAATATCATTACAAAAAGACCTTGGTAGTATATCACATATATTTGTCACTTTAAAGTTTGATAGATTTCTTCTTTGAAATCATTATAATCTTAAAGATCCCTATCAAAGATAAAATCAAAAGATTGACTCTTCACCTGTTGATGGCTCTTAGAGATTTGTGGTCCTGACCTGTCTGTGGTCCTGGCTCTTTGTACATGTTCAAGGAAATGAGTCTGAGACAACTGGTGAATTTAGGAAAGCTCCTGCATCCACATGAGTCATTTATGAAGATTTCTTTTATCCATGGTAATCGGTTATGTTTCCCAGATGACTATCTGAATGTACCATTTTATTACAAAGACACATACAAAAAACTCATTTCCAAGTTAGGCAATGATTGTACCAAAGAAACATTAGAGTTCAATAAATTTTATATGTATATTTTTCATTCCTGAAAACTCAGAACTGAAATTTTCATTAGTTTTTAATACATCTTAAAAAATGAGATTTGTAATTCAATTACAGATCGTTGTGCATTGGTTACACTATAACATTTCTTTTTTGTAGTTTACCTTCTAAAATGTTAAGTATAAAGAATATGAAAGAGAAATTATATATTATTATTTTTCTATAAGTCTAAGGATTATTAGGGGTGGAATATATTAAAGGGTCTTATCCAAATTTGAGGATTGTTAAGAGAAAGAACATTTTAAAAAATCTTACCAGAATTGTTTTGCAAAATAAGCTGTAAAGGCTCTGTTACTAATTGTATTTCGGAATTATTAGTTGCTCTAATCCCAAAGAATTGTATTCTTCCTCTTATTTGCAGTTCTTTTAGTTTCAACAGAGGGCACCTACTTTGTTTGTGGATTGCTTTTTGTTTTGGTTGTGGAAGAATGGGTTTGGGATTATGCAATTTTAGTAACTATTCTCCATGTTGCTATCACTTCAACTGGTAAGCAAAGTAAAATAAAGGAAACAAAATGTATTAAATCTGATGCTGTACCTAAATCGTTTCATAAGAATAGAACTTTGTTGAATGCATATTGTCCTCTGATGGCTAAATAACAAACACTGATGATGGAATTTCTTCACCCCTACCCCTTACCATCAAGTTCTTCTACCATTCCTCAGCAAGATATTGCTTAGCTATATCTTCCAATTCAAAACTGTTCCAAATATAGATGTTTCCTATTCTCCTTTTACATACAACTTGTACGGAGTTTGCTCTGTTTGAAATACCTTTCCTATAAAAACCCATTTTTGAGGCAGAACTTGACCAAAGACTGGGAACTGGAACCCAAGGAAACCTGTACTTTTAGGCTCTCTAACTTCCCAGCACCATTTAGTCATTTTAACAAGATCGCTGGGTTCATAGACTAAGGTGTTTTTATTTCTACTTTTGATCTTTGGAATCAGAAGAAAGTGGATTCAAATTCTAGTTCTACTTTTTTACCAGGTGTGTAGTCTTAAGCAAGTCATGATATCCCTTACGTTAGTCTCCTCTACATTATGTGAGATAGCTAGGGAAGTTTCAGTGAGAATTAGAAATTGTCTGACATCGTGTCTAGCATAAAATAATTTCCGAGTATATGATAGTTTCATTCATTCTTCCATTCATCTTCAAAATTTGTAGTTTCATTGAAACTTTTTCTCTTTTATCTTCCATTATTTAAAAAAAGCATAGTAGTCAAAGTAAGGATGGTTATCAAACAATTCAAAGTTATTACTACTTATTAACTACTTAAATCACCCATTTTCAGCACCCTGGTCTATTGATGTTTTAATCAGTCTTCAACTTAAGAGCAATGAATTGTTGCATCCCAGCATTATTGCTATTAAAAAATACTGGTATATCATTCTCCTAGCATCAATTTCCTGAGACACAAACACTTTCGTAACTTGGAGAACTACTTATTATCTATTTTACTTTGGGTCTTAAACTTTTCTAGATGACAGCCATAAAGTATTCACAAAGGGCTTGGGAGCATAAGGTGACTCAGTCTTCAAGGTTGAGATGGGCAATAGGTTCTAGACCTAGAAGAGTTTCAAGTTAATTATCCAACACATGGCATATAGAAAATACTTAACATATATTGCTCGATAGAATTGAGTTCAGAGTGAAGTGGCCAAGGAACTCCAGAGAGAGCCAGGCACTGAAGATTCGGGATGGTCTTAGGCTGTCTCTGCAGCATATCACTTCAAATCAATTTTGTGAGATGACCTGAGAACCTGATAATTCATAACATCATTTCTAGGAGAGAAGTTTCAAATATCTGAGTTAACAAATAACCTTTTTAGATGACAAGTACAAATTTTAGGTTACTTGATTTCCTGAAAGTGAATAAAATTTCCCTGTTTTATATGGATATGATTTGACCAAACAGAAGTATGTCTTCATGAGTAAAAAAAAAAAAAAAAAAAAGTTTTGAAAATTAACAGTTTTTTTTCTATTTCAGTTATGTTGAAATTCCCCTTAATATCTCATTGGTGGGCTGCTTTAGGTATTTTTTAAATATGTGATCCCTTATATAATATACATATATATGTATACATAATATTTGTATAATATAAATATATATTTATACAAAAACTGGCAACACCAATTTCTTTTTTAGGTGGATCAGGTAATTAGACCAGGTGACTGTTCAAGGGTCTTATTATTTTAAAATTTCAGAGAATAAAACTCTGGATATATATCTGTGACATATGCTTTTGGGTTTTTTCCACATGAATGGCATTGCTCTCTTTGTAGTAGTACAAGAAGAAGAAAAACTATTTCATTTCTTCTCTTTCTCTGCCCACAAATTGAATAACTGAATTCATCAATCATATATCTAGTAAGAAAATTAACCAAGTGAAAATGAACTTTTTAAATGGATTTTTCTTTACTGTAAGCCAGGTATCGACCACAAAATATTTTTAGATTTCCTCTTTTCAGTTAACTTGGCAATAGTTTTAATCTAATTATTGTCGTTTTTAGTGATGAGAAATGGAAATGTAGCACTTTACCACATTCTTTTTCTCTGAAGTCGAGTTATCTGTTTATAACACAAACAAATGGCAGGTCTGAAGAGCTAAAAGAATTGAGAATTGTGAATTCCTCGGCATGTGCTTTGACTTCATTGCTTTTGAATTTCTGAATTTTTAAGAGCTTCTTACTATTAATTTGACAGAACCATATACATATTATGAAGGAAGTTTTGAATTTCAACAATTTACCAACACAGAATATATACTTACTCTCTCTTAGTTGAATACATAAACTAGTCTATTTCAGGTGCTATGTCAGTTTCAGGAAAGTTATGTTAGTCATAACAATTGTTCTTATTCATAATCCTACCAATGAATTAATCATTATTGGTTGTTAACCAAAACTTCCCTTTCATTACTTGCAGGATCTAGCTTAATTTCAATGATATGTAGAGGCCAGACTTTAGCATACTGTTGGTTCAAAGACAATTTTATCTATCCAGACCTGGATAATTTTAACAGAACATCTGAAATAATTTGCCTCAGTCTTATATTATTATGTACATTGTATCAGAACTAAATTGTATTTTTTGTTCATACCTATATTCAAGGTTGGATGTATTCAAGATACTTTATAACTATGAAAAGAAATAAGAAAAATTAAAGGAGAGCAAACGAATGCTAGTAAAGAATTCATGAGCAAAAGGTTGTAAACTCCTAAAATTCAGTGTTTCCCAAATTGTATTCCAAAGAACATTAGTTCTAAAGGATGCTAAGAGTGCCATGCAAGGAAAATAAAAGTTGCATGTGTAAGTGTATTTGTGGAATCCTGGGTTTAAGTAAAACAGACTTATTTATTTCAGGACTTCTAATACCTTTAACATACTATTGTGAACAAGGCCTCTCTAAGTAGCAGTATACCTTATACACTGTTTCTCAAACATATTCGACCATGTACACACTTTAGAAAACGCTAATGTATCATGTGGAAAGTGTAACACAGAAGAGGGCAGATTTAAAACCAGATTTAGATTCCATTACTGTCTTTGTGTTAGAGAATTTCTTATGAAATTATTGCCTTTTTAAAAATATTAGTGTCTATTTTTTTCCTTAGACCATGGTCTTCTAACATTGTGCCTCTTAAAATTTAATGTGCATTTGAATTGTTGCAATAAAGATTTTGGTTAAGAAGGGCTGGCTGGAGCCGGAAAGTCTAAATTTCTAACAATTCCTGGGAGAAGCCTGTGCTGTTGTTGGTCCATAGACCACACTTTGAGTAGCAAGGTCTAAATTGTTGGGCCCATATATGTTTTCAGTTGTATAGTTCTGTACTGACAGTCCTATGTTTTTTATATCACTGTTATTCAATAAATTCTTGTAGAATTTGATTAAAACTGAAATGAGTTAAGTTTATATAACTGTCTTAAATATTTGTCACTTTTTAGTATAGTTAAAATGTCTCCTGATATAAAAGAAGAGCATTCCATGGTTATACTAAAATATAAGCATAGAAAAAAAGGACAGGAAAGTAACACACACACACACACACACACACACACACACACACACACACCATTCCTACGTACAAACATTTTGAGAAACAATTAGAAACTAAACAAAACCATTTTTAGAATTTTTTCCTAGATGACTCTTTTTACCCTAAAAATCTATTTCTTCCACAAAAATATGCATTCAACCACTAAGAAATGTCATGCTAACTGTATGTAGTCCAGGTGACCTTCCAAAAACTACTCTGTGTTGGTCAGTTACTGGCTAGATAATTTAAGCTTCTCATGCACATTTAAATATAAAAATAATGATATGGTCTCTGCTTCTTTCTCACATTTACTTATTTGCATAAACTTTTGTCTTCCATCCATTCTTCTCATTCTTCTCATTAATTTCCTCCAAAATGTTTGGTCATAGAAGCATCAACATATGTAACTCAACTAAATTAGTCAAAGGACTGTAAATTTCTATTACTAATAAAGATTTTTTTTTATCTTTGAAAGAAGGCAGCATAGAGTAACTATGAAAGGATCAGCATTATGATCTTTCATTCTCCAATTAACACCCATTGACAGCACTCAGAAAAAGGGTCAATCTAGTGATACCACAAAACTCCATTCTGTTCTGTGAAAAATGCAAATATTAAACAAATCATGGATACACCGATGAGAAAGTCCACCCCTATCGAAACACACATGGAAGACATTTATAGAAACATTATAACTGCCTAAATAAATTCAATAATTAAAAAAGATTTACTTGATTAAGTACTTTTTAATATAACAAGAATTAAGTTACACTAGTAAATTAGAATAATCTCTCTAGACTCAGAAGACCTTAATATCTTGTCATTTTGTAGTATAGCCTAATTAGCATGTTTATTCCTAAGATTAGGGATTCATCTGCTCAGGTAATTACTATTGTGCTAATCTTTCTCTTTATTTTTTCTCCTGATCACAAGAATAATCTGTGATTTTCTCCTTTTGCTCATTAAAATGATTATTATTGTCTATTTGATGACACCACTTGAAACGAAAATTAAAATACAATTAGGTTGCCTATTTTAGCTTAAAAAATAGTGTGTATCAGACATATTAACTAATTATTTACTGCCTTAAGCTATATATAAACTTCTTATAGGCCAAGAGTCATGCCCATTTAATTTACTTCTCTAGTGTCTCACACAGAATCATAAGTTGAGAGAATCCTATCTGATATTTTGATGAATATTTTTTAGGCAGGACTCATACTATTTTCATTTTTAAAAAGGTAATACTTTTACATTATGCATAACCTTTTCATAGGTATGCTTTAAAGTTATTATACCATTGCCATCTTATAATGTAAATCAATTTATGTATTCTTTTAATGTTTACTTGAAACAATTATTTTTCAAATAAATGAATAGTATCTTTACTCTTGCTGAGAATGATTCTAAAATATATATACGAGGTATATGAGGACTATTTTTATATCTACAATCTAAATATTTTACTCCTATCTAAAATTGTATGAGTTTTGTTCAACCAATATACCTTAGCTGCTAAATTGATAAGTTCAAAAGCTATAGAGTTTATCGTACAGAAGAGACAACATATATACCATGAGATAGAGAATTTTATGACAAACATCCTAAGGAAAAACAAAGGCACTTCCTAAAGTAGTTGTACCATAAACTTTAGAAACCTGAATTGCTAGGTAAATAAATCTGTAACAAAAGCCTCCATGGATATCACTGTGGTATAAATGTCAGAAAAGGAAGGAAATACAATTTGATTCATATGGAGAAACTATAATTTTTCAAAAGAAAATTTCTACTACAGAAAAAGGCCTCACAAAAGATGTAAAAATTTGGTGATATTTTACATTTTTAATAGAGGAAAATAAAGCTTCAACTTTCCAAGTTTTATGCCTTATTTACCTTAGCTGTTTCATTTAGATTTTCCTTTATTCTATCTAAATGTTTCTGGTAGTTTAGTAACAAGAGGGCCAAATCATTTTTAAAAACAAGAATTAATTACCATCTGACTTTCTTCTTGATGAAAAATATTCAACCTCTCCCATATGCCCAATAATTTAAACAGGAAGATGATTTGCCACCAACATAATAATAATTGATTCATCTAATTTAAGGAATAATAGATGTACCCACAAGATCTTTCTTTAATTGCAAAGGGTAAAATGCTATTACAGTAGAGAAAACTGGCTGATACAACCTTAGACAAGTGATCAAAGTTAACATTGTTAGTAATGGGACTAATCAATAATGTATAACTCCTATGTGATACACTGGGAAGAACCCAGTATCAGTTCTGTGGTATTCCTCCCCAAAGTGAATAATTTGAATCTATTCTTAAGGGTGCATGAGACAAACTCAAAGTTAGGGATATTTTACAAAATAATTGGGCTGCACTTTTCAAAAATGCCAATATTATAAAATTCAAAGAAAGACTCAGAAATTTTCCCAGATTAAGGAAAAGACAATCTGGGATTTTCTTTTGCTATAAAGGGAATTATTGGAACAATTGACAAAATCTCAGTAAAGTCTGTACATTACGTAATTGTATTGTTTCAATGTTAATTTCTTAATTTTGACATTATACAAATCATTGTTAAAGAATCATCCTTTGTTAAAGAATTCCTTGTTTTTAAAAAACATTTACTAAAGTATTTAGGAGAGAGAGGGCATTGTACCTATAATTTATTCTTCAGTGGTTCAGAAAGAAAATAGTTGATATGTATATTGTATGCATACACAAGTACTCTCACATAGAGAATCAGAAAAAGGTAAAACAACTGTAGAAACTTAATATTTTGGGAATCTAGATGAAGCATATGTGGGCATGCTTTGTACTGTTCCTGCAATTTTTCTTTAAGTCTGTTATATCAAAGTAGAGAAAAAGAAAAAGAAGAGATGGAAGATCAGAGAATATAAGTGACTTTTCCAAAGTCATGCAGGAGGCAAAAAAGCTGTCTGGGGCTCACATTCATGCTTTTTTCACTATATCTCTCCTTCTCTTTC